AGGTATTGCCGGGCGACTCATATCCGCAAGAACTTTTGCTACACTTTGATCCTCACGAGTCGTTGTCCTTAGTATGCAAACGCTTTAGTCAACGAGTCCAACAGCCACGCGCCTCGTGTTGATATCCACTGGATCGCAAGCTTCGGAGACGCGTTAGCATATGCAGCAGCCTCACGACGCAAGGAATGGCTGGTCATGTTGGGCGTCACTTCCTGTCGCGTTTCCTGCGGCATCTCCCTCAAGCAATCACGCATAACTTCGGTAACGTAACCTGCAATATTCGGACGTTTGCGTTCATGTTTAAACGGCTGTTCACTTTCTTTTTCTACATCGTGTTGCAGACTCTCCCAGAATATTACAGCTTCTTCCTGCGTGTACGTCTGGCTGCCAGGAAATTCGGACACCGCGTACCGAGGAACGAGCGGAAATAGGTACTCGGACGGCTCATCGTAGCAGACAAAAAGCATGCCAAATGCATGGAGCATGCATTGCTCCCAGCGTTCTGCAGACTTGTAAATAGAGACACCTTGTACGACTGAGGTTTTAATTCTCGCGATATGAAGAAATAGTTCACCAGAAGCTGCCACCGATAGTTGTTGCTTTCTAGCAAAGCACGTGTCAATCGCTCTACCAAATGTGTGCCACATCATCGTAAGCAGAGCTCCGTCATGAATGTTCTTGAGCCCAGTGGCAGCATCAGCATGGACAACTAAATGATCCACTAGCAAGGATAGGTCGTTTACAGTTTAGCCTGGGGCATCATTTGTCTGCACATTCGCACGCAAATTTCGTTCATCAATCGCACTCGTCATCTTGTCACGAATTTTAGCGATACGCTTCGAGTCTTGAAGCGAATCACTGTAGCGTTCTCTTAGCAAATTTACCACCTGAGAGAAGTACCCCAGGGCAGTTGCCTTGGCTAGATAACCATCAGCAGCACGAGACTTGCTACTTTTTTTGGTCTGTAGGAAAATCGAGAAAGCTGTTAAAAGTGAGTAAAAGTTCTGCATTGGTAGGCTAGTAGTTGCTACAAGAGATGCATGCATTTTATCGAGCGCATCACTGTTTAGGTCTGCTGAGCACAAAAACTCGCTGAACACCTTCACAGCAGCCACTTCTTGCCCGACGGTGCCAGCGGGCGTGTCGAGGCCACGAGGCGCCCTCTTCATAGTAAATTCAGAAGTTAAGGTGTCTTGTGCTCAACACTTCAACTATATTTATCGATGTTGGTTTCCGGCAATAGTTGTACTTATCCGATAAATCCAAAAACATCTTTGTTTAAGTATAGGAACTTATTTTGGCGTTCTTAAAAATGACGGACACTTCCGGAAATAAGTCGGAATAAATTACCCCTATGCACAACGGACTCTGATTGGTGTAAATATTAGTTTTTCGCCTCTAATTGGTTGCAAAACACATAAATTACTACAAAGGGCTGGGGTCTCCGTCACAAAAAGACTTATCCTACAATAATCAAGTATCTGCGCAGCTCGCCTGGCTGTTTGCAGCCAATCGATGCGTTTCGTGCTCGGCAGAAATGTTTACCTTATGTCCAATCACCAGGGCGAGAGGCGGTCTGATCGTGCGACAGATCTAGTCAGTGTCGCAGGTCGGCATGTATTGCCCAATCAGGGCTCGAGTTAATTGTGTCCGCTTTATGGCCATATTTGTAATTTAGGCATAGTTAAGCCGAGTCAGAAAGATAGGCACGGTCGGTAAGAAGGGACGTGAGTGTATTACACAGGCCAAATGTAGCCATGCGTAAAAGTAGGAAAAAGCAGTAAGAAAGGAAACGGACGGACTTATTGACAGACGGACACGCTAGAAGGTTAAGAGGCGGGAAACTAGCGCTCTGGGCGCCCGCTCCGCGCGCGCTAGGGCATAGTTGGTTTGTGTAGAGAGGGCCGACCACCTCCGCTGCGCTGCGGTGGGCTTAGAATTTCTACTCAAAGCGAAGCAACATATAGTACATGTATACTGTGAGCTACGTATATTACGGCTCAAAACAACACCGCACACAGTATTCTTAGTGCTCACATGTTATGGTAGACACGACCAGGGTTTAACGTGATCTGCAAGATGAGCTCCATCTTACCCGGGAAGGTTTTGTCTATAATCGCATTTGAGCGCATAGCTCCCAAAATGACGCCAATTGGAGGCGTGCGTGGCTGCAAAGCTAACAAATGCTGTTCAGAAGACATGTCAGTATCAGTGATGATCCAAAATTGGCATATATCGGTGAGGAATCCCAGTTTAGCTGGAGTAAATACGTCTACTCAAACATAATATCATCTGTCACGTCATCGCCGTGAGGCAGTCGACACCGTCTCATTGATTGCGACGGTCTATTAGAGAAAGGTTTAGTCAGCTCCTCGCGCGAAGTATCTTTTAGAACAGGAAGATTTTGCCGATAGTCGCGACAAACACCAATATTATGCGTTGTAATTGTTCTGCTGAGCTCTTTATGATTTTACTGAAGGGTGTTTCCACTATCTTTCGCATGTATTGATTCTACTTGCATAGCTGACGCACATACTGACTTATTTGCATCGATTCTGACTGACAGAGTGGCGTAGATCCATTCCGAGTTGCATTTACTGGTAGGGATATGTATGACGAAAAGAGGAAGCCACATGGCTGTAGGCAGATTATCAGATCGTAGATATCTTAGACTTGATTCAAATCGTCGCTCATGTACATTATATGAAGTACTTTGCTGCCTACTTATCAACTCGGCGTGCTATTTGATGTATCCGTGCATATATTGCGAGGTCGTTAATGAGTGTATATCACGCGCTCGTGATATCTAAAACCTATGTAAAGGATCACTGTCGCTTTCTCGGTACACTTGCGTCGTCGTGCTGGCTTACTGTGCTTACGCTTCTGATGTATCAGTCTATATGACCCAGCAGGTCACTAACTGGTCACAGGCCATACTGCAGCGATACTGGCAAGCTGACCGCGCGTCTGTCACCTGTATTCAACGCAGTATCTACGCGCGCGGCGGGTACACCTTATAGCCACCCGCGACTGAGCCGAGCTCTTATCTCGACCATTATGGACAGGGCACTAAAGTATAGTACTGCGTACAGACAGTTCGACTTACCACACCCACCGGTATTGTTTGCGCTACCGCACACGTGCTCGTATCTATGTAGACAGCAACTTAATCGCCACGTGTAGTGCTCACGCGATGCTGTAGTTTCAATTTGTGAGCGCACATTAATGGAACATACGCTGTGAGCGCTTGTAACGGGGTCACACAGCACCTTGCACAGAGGAAGTGCTTAAGGGTATTAACTACCCGAGTGAACGTAAGTCCACGTGTTCCCGGCCTCAGTGGGAACGGTTTGCTACTTAGAGGAGTAGATTTAAGACTGATGTATGTATAAGTAAGATAAGCTTGGGTCTCATACAAACTAGAGGTTACCTATAGTGGAGCTAAGTAGTCATGCACTGACTGGCTCCGAGAGCACCTGGTACCGTGTATCAGGTGTCCACAAGAGTGACGGGTCACTCTTTATGTAACATGGGGCACACTGGATTGA